ATGAACTGTGTGTATGAGGAACAGGGTGGTGTGCATTGCTGAACTGTGTGTCTGAGGAACAGAGGGTGGTGTGCATTGCTGAACTGTGTGTATGAGGAACAGAGGGTGGTGTGCATTGCTGAACTGTGTGTATGAGGAACTGAAGATGGTGTGCATTGCTGAACTGTGTGTCTGAGGAACAGAGGGTGGTGTGCATTGCTGAAGTGTGTGTCTGAGGAATAGGGTGGTGTGCATTGCTGAACTGTGTGTCTGACAAACAGAGGGTGGTGTGCATTGCTGAACTGTGTGTCTGAGGAACAGAGGGTGGTGTGCATTGCTGAAGTGTGTGTCTGACAAACAGAGGGTGGTGTGCATTGATGAACTGTGTGTATGAGGAACAGGGTTGTGTGCATTGATGAACTGTGTGTCTGGAAAACTGAGGGTGGTGTGCATTGATAAACTGTGTGTATGAGGAACAGAGGGTGGTGTGCATTGCTGAACTGTGTGTATGAGGAACAAGGTGGTGTGCATTGTTGAACTGTTTGTCTGACGAACAGAGGGTGGTGTGCATTGCTGAACTGTGTGTATGAGGAACAGAGGGTGGTGTGCATTGCTGAACTGTGTGTATGAGGAACAGGGTGCTGTGCATTGCTGAACTGTGTGTCTGAGGAACAGAGGGTGGTGTGCATTGCTGAACTGTGTGTATGAGGAACAGAGGGTGGTGTGCATTGCTGAACTGTGTGTATGAGGAACAGAAGATGGTGTGCATTGCTGAACTGTGTGTGTCTGAGGAACAGAGGGTGGTGTGCATTGCTGAAGTGTGTGTCTGAGGAATAGGGTGGTGTGCATTACTGAACTGTGTGTATGAGGAACAGGGTGGTATGCATTGCTGAACTGTGTGTATGAGGAACAAGGTGGTGTGCATTGCTGAACTGTGTGTCTGAGGAATAGGGTGGTGTGCATTGCTGAACTGTGTGTCTGAGGAACAGACGGTGGTGTACATTGCTGAACTGTGTGTATGAGGAACAGGGTGGTGTGCATTGATGAACTGTGTGTATGAAGAACAGAGGGTGATGTGCATTGCTGAACTGTGTGTATGAGGAACAAGGTGGTGTGCATTGTTGAACTGTTTGTCTGACGAACAGAGGGTGGTGTGCATTGCTGAACTGTGTGTCTGAGGAACATGGTGGTGTGCATTGCTGAACTGTGTGTATGAGGAACATGGTGGTGTGCATTGCTGAACTGTGTGTATGAGGAACAGAAGATGGTGTGCATTGCTGAACTGTGTGTCTGAGGAACAGAGGGTGGTGTGCATTGCTGAAGTGTGTGTCTGACAAACAGAGGGTGGTGACTGGTGTGCATTGATGAACTGTGTGTATGAGGAACAGGGTGGTGTACATTGCTGAACTGTGTGTATGAGGAACAGGGTGGTATGCATTGCTGAACTGTGTGTATGAGGAACAAGGTGGTGTGCATTGCTGAACTGTGTGTCTGAGGAATAGGGTGGTGTGCATTGCTGAACTGTGTGTATGAGGAACAGAGGGTGGTGTGCATTGCTGAACTGTGTGTATGAGGAACAGGGTGCTGTGCATTGCTGAACTGTGTGTCTGAGGAACAGAGGGTGGTGTGCATTGATGAACTGTGTGTATGAGGAATAGAGGGTGGTGTGCATTGCTGAACTGTGTGTATGAAGAACAAGGTGGTGTGCATTGTTGAACTGTTTGGCTGACGAACAGAGGGTGGTGTGCATTGCTGAACTGTGTGTATGAGGAACAGAGGGTGTTGTCCATTGCTGAACTGTGTGTATGAGGAACAGGGTGCTGTGCATTGCTGAACTGTGTGTCTGAGGAACAGAGGGTGGTGTGCATTGCTGAACTGTTTGTGACAAACAGAATGGTGTATCAAATGGCTGTGCCCATGCGTGTGTTCGGACTTGTATCTTAGACATGCCTGGACTGATTACATTCACATGCATCATACATAATATTAAACAAATGCACATCGATTTGTTTCACAATCTGATTCAAGATGGCCAAATGGTGGCCATTTTTGTTCTGAAAAATCATTAAAATCAAGCATTTCTGGCATTCCGGAACAAGATCTTGGCTGTTTACAGATGAATTTAATTCAAATTATGGGACCTTGATGTACGTCATTTTGTTTTTCAGATCGGATTCAAAATAACCGACTGGCAGCCATTTTGTTGTAATGAATGTGCTTCTAGTGCCATATGCTTTGACTGATTATGTTCAAATTTTATATATTCATTATACATCATGTAATAGATATACAGATGTATTGGTTTGATGATCAAATTCAATGGCCGAATAGTGGTCATTTTTGTGCTGAAAAGTCATCAACAATTTCTGGCACTCCGGAACCAAGGCCTCCGCCATTTATGGATGGATTTTGTTCAAACTTGGTACATACATACATGTATTATTGCTCTTTGATGCACATCATTTTGTTTCTCAGATTGGTTGCATACTCATGATTTTGTTTTAATGAATGCAGTTCTAGAGCTGTATCTTTGACATGCTTTGATTGATTATGTTAAAATTTTATATATTTATTGTACATCATATTATAGGTATACTGATATTTTGGTTTAATGATCCAATTCAATATGGCTGAATCGTGGCCATCAGATACAAGATAGCTGAATGTCAATCATTTTAATGTTAAAAAATTATCGTGATCAAGCATCAGCTTCTGGAATCATATCTCTGACATGTTTATGTTCCAACTATATTACTATAAACAAAACTATATATCTTAAATTTGATAACTAACCGGGACTGTGCCATGCATGGCTTATTGTACTTGTTATATCCTTGAATGATTTTGTGTGAATTTAGCCTTATTGACAGTGACTTATTTTAGTTTTCGTAATTATTTGAATCATTAAACTGTAAACTGTGTGTTCTATTTAAAGGATGCCATTTCTAAGGAATCCTATTTTAACGCCATACACACAATTGCAAGGGGTAATGTCCAAGAAGGCTTTGAGATGTCGGATCATGTTATTGATGGTGAAGTGAGACTGGGTGGACAAGAACATTTCTATCTTGAAGCCAATGCCGCAATTGCAATACCTAAAGGTGAAGATGGAGAAATGGAAATCATATCATCATCACAGAACCCTACATTAAATCAGGTTGGTAATTACTGTATGTTTTGTTTTTTTTATCAATTTTATAGAAATAACATATCAAAAGTTAAGGATATTGCTGGTCTGAGCATGTAACCGTGCTGAGCTTTGATTTTGCTCAATATAATAATCTGTCTACTTTGATTGAGCTGGTGTGAAAATATGAACATTTATGGATGAATTACAATAAAAATCATTTGATCTGCATGCACTGCCTTCCAACGGAATTATAACCCTCCATCTAAACATTCAAAATTTTATAGAATGTTACTCCCAGTTAACTGCTAGTCAAAACAAGTGGCCTGGCTGTACAGTCATGCAACATTCAGAGTAATCATCAGCATGACAACCCATATTTTTCACTTGACATCATTGCATTGGTAGTGACAGTAAACATTATATGTATTGCCATGAGTCAATTCTTTGCCAGCTCTTCTGTTTTACCACGGGGAGCTGTAATTTCACTCCAAATGGTCAGTTAAGATTTTGCAGCTTGTTTCAGAACGGGATGCAGTCCTCAAATATATCATGGAATTCTTGCATATTCCAACCATTTATCTTACCTGTCAATGTTGTCTTACCTGTCAATGTTGTCTTACCTGGCAATGTTGTCTCACCTGTTACTGTTTTCTCACCTGTCAATGTTGTCTCACCTGTCACTGTTGTCTCACCTGTCAATGTTGTCTCACCTGTCAATGTTGTCTCACCTGTCAATGTTGTCTCACCTGTCACTGTTGTCTCACCTGTCACTGTTGTCTCACGTTTCAATGTTGTCTCACCTGTCACTGTTGTCTCATCTGTCAATGTTGTCTCATCTGTCAATGTTGTCTCACCTGTCACTGTTGTCTCACCTGTCACTGTTGTCTCACCTGTCACTGTTGTCTCACTTGTCACTGTTGTATCACCTGTCAGTTGTCTCACCTGTCAATGTTGTGTCACCTGTCAATGTTGTCTCACCTGTCAATGTTGTCTCACCTGTCACTGTTGTCTCGCCTGTTACTATTGTATTACCTGTCAATGTTGTCTCACCTGTCAATGTTGTCTCACCTGTCACTGTTGTCTCACCTGTCACTGTTGCCTCACCTGTTACTGTTGTCTCACCTGTCAATGTTGTCTCACCTGGCAATGTTGTCTTACCTGGCAATGTTGTCTTACCTGGCAATGTTGTCTCACCTGTTACTGTTGTCTCACCTGTCAATGTTGTCTCACCTTTCACTGTTGTCTCACCTGTCAATGTTGTCTCACCTGTCAATGTTGTCTTAATTGTCACTGTTCTCTCACCTGTCACTGTTCTCTCACCTGTCACTGTTGTCTCACCTGTCACTCTGGTCTCACCTGTCACTGTTGTCTCACCTGTCACTGTTGTCTCACCTGTCAATGTTGTCTCACCTGTCAATGTTGTCTCACCTGTCAATATTGTCTCACCTGTCACTGTTGTCTCGC